AGCTAGGATTACTTAGGATTACTGTATCAGGGCTTTGTGTAAGCTAGTATTTGTTTATTCAACTTACAAGATAAAAAGGGGTGTATGTGTTGGTGAGTGTGTGAGAGAAAAAGAGAGCCAGAGAAAGAGAGTATGTTTTTAAAGTATAAAATGGAAGGAGCTACCTGGTCCTAGATAACTCCAAAAATATTTTAATCAATGACTGATTTGTTTCTACATTGTGTTCATCAGTTAACTAATTAAATGGGTTCATGTGATGCTTATAAGTTTGGTAAGTGCCTTCCAGAATTGATTCTCTAGTACACTGTCCCAATACTTGAAGAATAAATGATCAGGTACTGATTCTGGCCCTATGTAGGAACTTAAACTGTTTTTAGTGAATAGGAGGCACAATTATGCCATGAATGACTATTCTCTGAGGAGCCCTAGGACTTTTTATTCTCTTTTTTTTTTCTACCTTTTAGACCTTTAACCAATAACCTTCCTTGGTCACTCTGTAGGATAGAAATAATTTAATTTACTTACTCCTGGGCTCAACCAGGTGATCTCTTCATAGTGCTTCTTCCAACTCTGAATTGTATTTTACCTTTTTGTTTTATTTTTAAGACCCTTACATGAAGAGGAGAAACCTCACTGGAATACCTGGCCCTAAATTAATCTCTCTGTTTACTTCTTCCTTGAGCAGTCATTTTCCTCTACCTCACTGCACCTCCAGGTCCTGGGGGAAGATCCACAAGCTGTCCAGCTCTTAAGCTCCTCTGCCTATTTCCATGGGGGGCCCAAAGCTCTTCCTCCAAACAGGTGTAAAGCCTTAGAATAGCTGTAACTTCAGTTTCCTCAGTCCTAGAGCTAGTAGTTGATACTATTCTGTTGTGTCTTTCTCTGTCCTGTTCTTTTTGTCCACAGCATTCAGCTTTTTGCTACCTCTCGCCCACTGGAATCATTTCTAAATAAGTCTTTCCAAATTTTGACCTATGCTATGTAATATGACTCTGTCCAATTTGCTCCCTTACTCATGACTGCTCAATGCCTCCCTGCTGTGTATCAAGTGCATTACAGGCTCTTCACCATGACATTCAGCATTCCACAAGCTCTTGCTCCAAACTGTATTTAATTAATGCTGTCTTCAAGCCAGAATTGAACTACCTACCATTGCCTGTGCATCCCATGACCCTTTCTGCATCTGCTGCTTTTACTTGGAATGTCCGCATCCTTCTAGTTTATGTTCAAATAGCGCTTGTCATAAATTTGCACATTGTCATTGTTTGGAATGAATTTGGCTTAATTAACGGTGATTAGTAACTGAGTGTTTCAGGTGTTCACCTGAAACCAGATAACAGTTGATTTTTACTCAGAACCATTACCCCTAAGATGATACTGCTATTTAAACATTTTAAGGTTAAGAATGAGGGAAAAGGTATTTTCCTTATTCTTTCCATAAAAATGAAAAAATTCATTTGTTAAACTTAAGTATTTTTTTAAATGGAATATTCAGGCAAGCAGTGTATACTGAGTGTGTGGGTGGGGACATGCCTTTGCAACTCTGCAGACTAAAACTTGATTTTTTTAACAGGGACAAATGGGGGTGGGCAAATAACCTTAATTTAGACACCCACCTGTCGTATTTTCTTCTGTCAAAATCCTATCCCCTTTTAAAGCCTCTGTGTTTTCTTTTGCAAGGCTCCATGTTCACTTTATCAAGAAACTTCCCAGACACCCAGCAGAAAAGGACTCCCTCGTTGAGATTCCTGTAGCATGTATCCCATCCACAGACATTAATTTGCAGTCTAGAGGGAAACTGTTATATAGAGACCATAGTGCAGGTTCTTAAAATAGACTGTCTTTACCATCTATAAAATCTGAGTGTAGTGCCATGGAGGAGGAAGAGAGTGAGGACTTAATGGTGTGCAGATCAAGCAGTGTCCTTCCAGGGCAGGAAGCCTTTCACCTGGACCTTGGAGTATGAGGTATGGGAAGGGAGGAAGCCATGGCATGCTCAGACACAGGAAGCTGGCCAGTACAGCCAGAGCCCAGTGTGCATGGGAGAAGTGGAAGTCATAGCAGATAAGACTGGAAATGTAGTCTGGGGCCAAGGAAAGAGTGGGCTTAATAACTAGGCCAAGCATTTGGACTTCACTCAATCTTTAAAGAAAAGACATCTGAGGTTTTTTTTAAACATCAAAGTAGAATTTGAGACCTGTGTTTTAAAACAATAACTTTGGTGATACGATGAAAGGTAGATGGGTGGGAATGATGGAAATTAGAGATAAAAATTAGGTCAATGTTCTGAACGGACCCAAAGGTATCCTGTATTTCCCTTAAGACACTTGATACATTATTTTTTTGTAATTAGAGTTATTTGTGCATATACTTTTCCTATTAATAATACTTCCTGAAGTTGTGCCTCGAATAGTGTTTTAAAAGAATGAAAGGGTTTAAGAGCAATGACTGCTCTCTGAAACACTCAAGAACTCTGGAAAGTTTCATTTATAGCACAAACTAGTAAATAGTTGCTGTCTTCTTTCTCTAATTCTTTCCAGGTGTTAAAGGAGATAAGGCATTAACAGGCATTCAAACACATTAGCAATGTGTATATTTAAAATCATAAGTCATAGTTCATTGGTACCATTTTGAGTTCAGGCCATGCTCTATGTGCACACATATTATCACACTTAATATTGGCAGTTAGTAGTATTAAACCCATTTTACAGATATGCTGAGGCTCAGACAATTTAACCTGCCAGGATCACGTAGTAAGTTTTCCCCCTCCATGATAGTTATATTGGTCTTTTTCTGTACCTCGGGCTCGTTCCTTCCTCAGAAAAAGAAATTTCCTTCTGCATTTACCTCTCCCTGCAGTGCTCCTCTCCCAGACATTCACAGACTGACGTCTTCAGCTCTTAGCTTAAATGTTACCTCCCCGAAGAAGCCTTCATCCATCATCCTATCGAATGTTTCTCATTTCTTTACCTTCTTCATAGTATACCATTACCTGAAACTATTTACTTGTTTATTTTCTGGCCTCTAAGCTAGAATATAATTTTCATAAGAACAAGTGCTTTGCATGTCTAATGCACTCTTGCTTTATATAATCACAGTATTTTTAGAACAGTTTCTAGAACTTAATACACATTCAGCAAACATTTAGTCAAGGGATGGTTACATGAGTGCATAAATGTCCCCAGAGCCCATGCTTGTTCTTGGATCCCATCCTCCCTAGGTGTTTTCTTTCTGCTCCTAGCACGCTGGTGGGGATTCAACTGACCATATCACCTGGTCAACTGTGTCTCAGTATCCAGACTGGTTAATTTTTAAAAATTAAATATTTATTTGCTAGGAATAAAAGTCCACAGTTCATTTTCTTGCTCATAAGTTAAGATTATTTGATTATATCTAAGATTATAGTACATATATATGCCAAAGATATATGATTAGTTTAGAAGCGCAACTTCCTGATAACTTATTTTTAGGATTATACCATTCCTTACTGCATTCCTACTGGCTGGTTTTTCTAGGAGAATATTGGAGTTTACATAAAATGAACGTTCCTGAGCACTTTTTGCTTTTTAAAGCACCGAACATGTAAAAATGCCTGCTCTATCTAATAAATGAGTGAATTCATGTTATCCCCACTCAAAAAATAACAATCCTGGGAGGGTAAATTCTTTCATTCTTTCCTCAAACTACATTTTTCTTTTGTGGTTTCAGATTGGCCTTTTCAGAAGTGTAATTTTCCTTTGTCTTGGTGGAATCTGAGACAACTGACTTTGTCACTAGCATGTTAACCTCTTCTTTTCTCACCACCCCACATATCTATGAATAGCTTGCTGATTAACTCCTAAATTAGAGAAGGTGGCCTGAAGGAATTTTAAGTATATTTCTTGGTGTTTGTGAACTTACATGATTTTAGCTCAGTTAGTTAATTTTGTTAAAAGTGTATAAAGGAGTTCATATGATTCTAAATTACAGAAGAAGCGAAACAGTTTGAAAGCAACCTGCCCTTTACCTTGAACCCTACCCCCTCCAAAAATTGTGCTATAATGCCAATGAATAGAATAATGGTTGAGGAGCAAAATTTTAAGGTATTCTAAATATCACTGGTTGGTTTAATAAAATTAATTAACCTGCCACAGAGAAAATTTACTAGCATGCTGGTTAATTTCACAATGTAATCACAGAAGGGAGGTAAGGTTGAGAGAACAAACCTTATTAGTTTTGAATAATTATTTAAAGATGTGGAGCTGCCTATTTCAAACACTTTGATTGCCAAATCCATTAAGACTTTACAGTCTCAATGTTTGTATCCCAGTATATACGGAAGGGAATCTACTAGATGGAGCCATAAGCATATTAGTTTACAGCTAAATGACTTATTTAAGATAGAGAACAAGTAGAATCTGAACAAAATCATGGGAATGAGAACTTGCCTTAAGACTCGCTCGTGGGAGGTTTCCATAATCTTAATTTTCCATTGATGAAATTATTGCTTTTTCTTGTCTTTTTAATCCAAACAAGATGTTAGCAGTGGCCATGGAAAGGTGCCTGAAATCACATGCCTGAATTCATTTAATTTGCCAATATTGTCTCTTTTCTCTCCCTCTTCCTGGTAATGGGCAAGAGTCAGTTTTGGTGCATTAGGCACTAAATCTCTTCAATTACCAGCTGGGAAGAAAGACTTAAAATTGTGCTTCAAACCTACAAACTGATTTAGTTTTAAAGCACAAACACTTCTCCCGTGGAGCCTAAATTAAACTGCAGAAAGGATGCAGAGCTTGACGAATTAAACCAGGCAGGGTCAGGCCAGCAGTGGGAGCCATCTTAGTTTTTTCAATGGAGCCCCTGGTGCAGGAAGAAAGGGAGCAGGAACGTGCTGACAGACGCAACTTGTGTAAGAAATGCAAGATCGTATTGCTTGGAAGCTAAATGGGGAGTGAATGTTAGTGTGGGGAGTTTAATCAAACCCCTTACCCTTTTTTTCTTTCTTTTTGGGCGCTTGGCAGCCATTTTCAATGTGGATGACTCTGTGGTAGATCTGGAGACCCTGGCGGCCTTATATGAAAATGTAAGTACCAAAGACCCACAGAACTAGTTTCCAGATTTTCATATCCTTCCTAACTAAAAAATCCTTTAAGGTCTCAAAAGGAGTCTTGGGACTCCTTGCACCCCAAAAATCCCTGAGTCATTCCCTTTCTTTGACAGTAGGGATTTTTGACATAGCAGGAAGAGATCATTGTGCAGAAATGCAAACTTAGATGAGAGCAGGCATGAGAATAGCATAAGGCTCTGACGCCCACTGTGTTATCTGAGTTAGGTGAGTTCACACCTGCAGAGAGGGCAGTTCAAGGTGAAGACCACTTCTGTGCCACGGAACCCAGCCCTGTGGTTTGCTATCAGAGTGAATGAAAGCAGCTACTGGCTTAATGGGGGTGTCTTCCTCTGGGGAATGCCAATGCTAATACAGCCTGTATGATTACTCTTAGCTACCTGAGTTCGTGGCGTTGAGTGTAAAATGTAGTACAGAATGATGGTGTTTGTTTTGGATTTAGAGCCAGATAGTCTTGGGTTTGAGGTTCCCCTCTCCTATTGAATGCTGAGTGACTTTGGGCCAATTAAACCCCTTAGGCCTATTCGATGTCAGCACAATGGGCATTATAATGGACTTTACCTAACTTTCTGTGAGTATTTAAAGAGAATTTAATACATGTAACAGTAGCAATGTATTTTGAAAATAAACAGTGCTATACACATAGATGGTCTTTAAATTTAGGTTATCTGTGGAAATGACCAGCAAAAACTGGCAGGCTATCCTGTGAAAATGACACAGGAGAGTCAGGATTCCATAATTGTTAACTGTTCTGGGTCACTGACTCTGTTAGGATGTGAGAACATAGATGAACCAGATTGTCTTTACTGAAGTAATGGTATTTCCCAGGAAACTGCCTCTAGTTCTTATAGTATGCAGTGGTCACCAAGCTCAAAAAATGATTCATTTCAGTACTTATGTTCCCTGGGACTGTAAGTGTCTTACAGAAAATTTCCATAGTTTGATAATCTAACCTGGTGGGATTGCCAGTTCCCCTACCTATTTTTATGTCTTTTGTATACATCAGGAATTGTTTAGTACCACTGGGTGGGAATTTCTCACAATTCCATCAGTAAGGCTTTCATTAATAGACAAGAAGGTGTGCACAGACCAGGCCTTGGGAACTCACAGTATATTTGAGTACCTGGAGGGTAGTGTGGTGTCAGGGGAGAGAGATTCCAAGTCAAGCCCTTTACCAGGTACTCAGTATAATTTTGGTGGAATCATCTAAGATGAAAATACAGTAATTGATGTTGAAGGACTCTGTAAAATGCAAAGGGACTCCTAGATGCTTTTTACTGTTAACATGGGCTCGAAACTGTGCACATGGTCGGTCGGTACTGTTAGCTCACAGTGGAAGTAAGCTGCACACAACTGTAAGAGTTGGATAAATTGAGAAAGTATGTGACTATATGCCACAAGAAATGGTACAAAGAATGCTTATAAAATTCATAAAAAGATAAGATGGTAACTAGAAATAAAAAAGTCAAGAGCCTACATCAGTGAGGAGGGCACTTCTGAGGGTCAAGAAGAAGAAAGCTAAGCACAACCTGACAGATACCTGCTTACAGGGGACCCAAAGGTAGCAATCAAATATCCTGGTTTCTGTGTTCAGCTAGGGTCACTTGTTATGACCCTTTGTATTAGACAGTGATTCTCAAATCAGTCTGATGCTCAGACTCATCAGAATCACTTGGAAGGCTTGCTGGGCCCCAGTCCTGGGCCAATAATTTGCATTTCTAACTAGAAACAGGTGATGCTGACACTGGTGGCCCAGAGGCCACAACTTGAGGTATGTTACTCTAGACAGATTCTCGTTGCTCAGTTCTTGGTGTTGTGTTCTGTTTCTGTTTCAACACAGAGAGCACAAGAGGATGAACTGGTTAAAATAAGAAAGTATTACGAGACATCAAAAGAAGAAGAACTGAAGCTGCTGGATAAGCCTGAGCAGTAAGGAGGCGCGATCATTTTCCTGTCCTGCCAGAAGGAGAAGCACAGTCTCTGTCTTCTGGCCCCCACACTTGCTCTGAATGTTCACATCCCAAGTGTGCAGTGAGCTCAGTCGCAGCCCCGTCATGCCCATGACCCACTGCACGCAGCGGGATGACCTGACTGCCCGGGAAAGCAGCTGGGAGATTTGTGCTGCTGGTTAGAACGCGCCTCAGCCCTTTGGCCCACCCCTCATGACTCTCCTTTCTTTTTCTAGCAATTTGTTAATTCCTCCTAGACTAAACATTCTGGCCAGAAGGATGACTGAGGAAGGACGAAGTCATTGCTCTGTTTAAGGTTCTGCTGATGCTGGTAAAAAGATGGTGTTAGAGTCACAGAAATCAAACTGGTTTTCCTAAATCTAGTAAGGGCAGCCTGAATCTGCCAGCATTCCCCTAAACTTCCCCTTCTGCTCTGCCCCAGTTCAATGTGCTTTTCATCCTCCCTAAGCAGGTGCTTGTTTTTCTCTCCATTCACCAGCTTAACTCCCTCTCTCTACAGTTTGGGGTGTCATTCCACACCCTCTGGAAACCCAGAATTCTAATGCCTAATCAAGTGCCTCTTGTCCTTGGCTGGGCTTTTGAGGTCTGCAAACCACAGATAAACTCTGCAGGCCCTGGGCTCCTCTCCCCCTGCTTTTCGAGGCCCAGGACTCTGTGAGAATGTGGAGTGGGCCTAGAGTGGACAGAGGGCTCCTTTGCTCTTGCTGCCTTGCGTACTTTGTGTCTAATGCAGGCCAGCCCTTGAGGCCTGGAGATAAGGCACTGGCTAGGACACAGAGAGGAAACTGAGTGGCAGGCTTAGGGTGGCAAGTCAGCCCTTGAGACATTTGAGACTGTGGTTTGTACTGCAGACTTCCTGCCCTGCGCTTGGGCCCCTGGAGTGCCCCCTCCCCCCGGAGTGCCCATCCCTGGAGTGCCCCCCTCCCCTGGAGTTCTCGGGCATTACAGTCTGGGGAACATCTCTATAGGACTTGGGTAGGGGACTTCTAGGGGATTTCTTACAGTTACTGATAAACCTTCATGATGATTTTGGTGACCGTAGGTGAATTGTTCTCATGTGGAGCATAGGCCAGGAACCCCCCTAACCCCAAATGAGTTCATGAAGCCTGGTAATATTACAAATCAGTGCAAATGGGGTTTCCATGCCTTTCTGTGGCCATCAGTTTGAGCCGCCCTCCATACCAGCCCCTGCTCTGGATGAATCCTGTGGTCCACTCCCAAGGCATGTTTCCTGATATTATAAATTAATTCTCACCAAGGTGCTAATGACTGAAAATGAAGTGACGAACAGCTATTTAGACACTGACAAAGCCATGGGGAGTATTTGAAGACTGCCTTAACTTAGGCTGCTATAACAAGGTGCCCTAAGCTGGGGGACTTATATACAATAGAAATTTATTAAAGTTTGGGAGGCAGGAAGTCAGAGATCAGGGTGCCAGTGTGTCTGGGTTCTGGTGAGAACCTTCTTCCAGGTCACAGCCAGCCAGCTTCTTTTTGTATCCTCACATGGCAAAGAGCAGAGAGGAGAAGCAAGCTCAGCTTGGGTGTGTCTCTTCTTCTAAGGACACTAATTTCTCTCCTGAGGGCTCAACCCTCATGACCTAATTGCTTCCCAAAGGCCCCACTTCCTAATACCATCACATTGGGACTTAGGATTTCAACATACAAATTACAGGATGGGGCATAAACAGTCTTTTACGGGGTCAACAGAGCAGGTCACGCCTTTGAGTAGTGCTGGCCTCGCCACATCAAGCAGCAACACTCTGAGCCTGGAGTTGGCAAACTTGTCCAGTGAAGGGCCAGGTAGCATTTTAGGCCTTGTGGGTCATACAGTCCAGTGGAACCACTCAAGTCTGCTGTGGTAATGCAAAAGCTACCATAGACAACTCTTAAGCAAATGGGTGTGACTGTGCACCAATAACATTTTATTTATAAACAATGAAATTTTAATTTCCTATCATTTTTACTTGGCAGAAAATGTCTTCCTATTCATTTTTGTTCAACCATTTAAAAATGTAAAAACCATTCTTAGTTGGTGGACCATACAAAAGCAAGTGGTGGGCTGAATTTGGCCTTTGGGCTATAATTTGCCAAACCCTGCTATAAGCTATGGGGATGGCTGGCCCAGGGAAATAACAGCAGGTTTCTGCTACTGGAAGTGCTCCCCTTTTCCTTTTGTGTTAATGCCTTGCTAGAATTAGTTTTCAAAATTAATTGCCAGGGCGTAGAATAATGATGGCAGGTAATTAACAGATAACATGTATTCCTGCTCTCTTTACTGGTAAGAAGAGGGGCATTTTTAAAGTTTGTTAGTAGTCATTGCCCTGGCTTCCTGAACATCCTAGGATATTACTGGAAGCAGAGAGGGCTGTTGTGTTGTCCTGCTGAGGCGATGTGCTTGGTTTGGTTGCCAGAGGGTGAGACGCAGAGAGGCAGGGACTTAGCCTGCTGAGGGAGTATCACCTTTGCTCTTGACCTCCTAAAAAGAGCAACATTTGATTTATGCCAGAGTCTGAACTTTCTGGCAGCTTATTTGCCATTAGCTCCAAGTTAGTTGACTCTAAACATGTTTTACATACTGGAAAATATGAATCACTTATTGTAATTTCAGTACTGGAGTTTCCTAAGATCCCTGTGGTGCCCAGTCCTATAAATCATAACAAGGAGAGGCTGCCTGATCACTCACCTCATCAGCTTGCTTGCACCCTGGTGCCAGATTTAAAAAAGCATGGAGGTGCCATCTGCTCAGGCCCAGTCTGCTAGCAGCCACTCCCTCCAGGAACAGCTCTTGAGTCTGTACTGTGCCTTGGGATGGTGGTGAGGGGAGGCTCTTTGGGTTTGATTAGGCTGGACACGTGCTTTTTGTCCCTAGAGCAAGAACACCTTATCCAGCATTTTGTAATGCTCCACTAGGATTCACAGATGCCTTTGGGGACCCCTCCCCACCAACCAAAAGCAGACGCACTGACTTGCTGAAACAAGTTCTGGTAGTGTATTTGACCGGCAGAAGGACGCAGGTCACAGCATGGCATGCTGCTGGGTGCACAGCTCCTGTGTGTGCACACTGGACGAAATACTCTCTGGGGGCTTAGGAGAGGGTAAAGTGAATGTTAGTCCCTTAAACAGCAATAGGCCCTGTAGCTTCACTCCACCAACCGGTGGAGTTGCTGCTGTGGATGTGGGACCCACACAACGTAAACTGCAGAACTTCTCTCCTATATGTGGGATGAAGCTGTGGTTCTTCCTGGGAAAACAAGCCTGCATCGGGGAAAGAAGGGAAAGATCCCTAGTCTGTGGCTTCTTTGGGGCTATCTAGTGGCCCTTTGGTATAAAGTTAGCCTGGTCCAAAGGGAAATCAATCCATAAATATGCATAAATACCAACGCCCAGTGTTTAAGACCTATACTTGGAGATTCGTGAGAGCATTCTTATTCCTTCCCTTACAGGTAGAGTATAAAGCAGAGTTTGTGGGGAGGGATGAGATACTGATCACTTGCCTCACAGCCTTTGGGGTTCCATAGCCATCTGGTCCTTTCCAAGATAAGTGGGAAAGAAGTATTGGTGCTCTTCCTCAAGACTTGGCATGGGTAGTTTTGGACAGAAAGTGACACAAAATCCTGTTTTTTCCAAATTTGCTTCTCCAGTATTTTGTATTTTCACATTCCACCAGGTGTCCAAGCCAGAACCTGTGAGTCACCCTGGACTTGTCTCAGTGTCGCTTGGGATTGGCCAGCCACTCTGGTCCGTGCAGCCTGTGCGCACATGTGTGGCCCTCTCCTCTCTCACTGTAGGCCCCTTGCTTCCCTCCTCAGCCTCCATGTCACAGCTGTGCTCCTGTAGGTCTCCCAGCCTCGAATGTGCTATTGCCTCCAGTCAGTCAGCCTAGCCACTGCCAGGGTGACTTTCTAAAACTAAAAGCTGAAAGTATAATTTCTCTCTTTAAAACCTCTCGTTCATTCAGAAAAGTTTAAACTCTGTATTTTAGAACACAAAGCTCCACTTCAGCTTTGGAATTCTTCTCGCCTTCCCCAGAAATATCATTCAGCCTGTCCAGGCTCTCCCCAGCAGTTTCTCATGTGTCCTGCACCAGCACCGGAGGGCTCCAGACACCTTGGCTGCCACCGGCCCTCCGGGGCTCTGACTTTGATGCCCTGTGTGTTATACCACGCATGGTTCCTATTAAAGGCCCCATCACTATTACTTTATTTCTCAGGTTATCAGGAAGGAATTGTGCATAAGTTAAATTCTGTTCTCAAATCTTAAGCATGGTGTCTACACACTGTAAATGCTTCGTACATATCTAAAGGACTGATCCATTAATTTTTAATTAGGATCAATTAAATGCGTTAATTTTCAATGACACATTCCCTACAATTCTGTCCAAAAGTAATATAAATTTCTGAACTTCCCTTCCCTCTCCAACCCAGAATATATGTTTCAGACCCTTGATTCTCAGAGAGCCTTCCTCGTGCAAGCCCAGTAAGGCTTTTCCTGAAGGGCTTGCGGTTCTATTTTGCGCTCTCCTGAGTAACGTATATTGGTGAGCCTGTGAACTTGTCTCATTTATTTGAGAGAGGTCCTAAGTCTCCTTTTTTGAGACTAGCTCTAAGCAAGTGTTCATCCATCATTTATTCCTTTTCCTCGAGGTCCTTCTTGGTGGTGATCTGTCTATTCTCGCACTCACTGGTTACTTAAACTAGAAGTGTACACACACTGGGGATCTGGGTCCTAACTGGGAAGCAGTGTCTCGTCACGTTTGGAAGGGGAGAAGTGCAGGGCATGACCCCTGAGGTAGCTCTCAGCAGCACCTGAGAGAAATAATACTTCCCAAGACTCCCCACAGGAACAGAAGCCACCAGTACTATAAGCTTTTTATTACTCATATTGGTGAAAACTGATGATGCCCCTGATTTCAGCCATGAATGAATCACTAGTTGAATACTAATTTCATGAAAAAAAATTTACATATGAAGTGTAATTTTTTCATCTTGTCCTAATTCAGAATTCCCAGTGGTTTCCACTTTTATATCATCACATGGTTTTCATAATATTCAGAGTTACAGAACTGTAAAACAGAGGTGTGTTTTCTTTCATGGTCATTCTTTGCTCCATTTCTATGTCATTTAAAGAAAAAGGATTATGACCTGGTTATAGGATAAATAAGAAAAATAGCTGATAGTTAGAATCTTATTAAAACCCAAATCCCCCTAAAAGAAAAGTTAGAGAAGCACAAAGTACGAGCCAAGGGAATTTCTTTGGGTTTGGAACAGGGAGCTTCACTCCTCTGTAAAAGCATTCTTGGTGAGAGATTGCAAAATGTCAAAGTAGTAATGTTAAGAGTTGACTGAGACTTTGAGAAATATCAGTTAATCATCATTTCAACCCCAAAATGAATTTAATAGCTGTTAGTGGATTCTCTCCTCTTCTGAATTCATGTTCAACTCTTTCCATTCATTTTAGTTTATACCCCTTCCTCTGGTGGCTGGCCTGGAGAATTTGTAGCTCTTCCAACTTAATTTTGCAAAGAGCACCAGTGTCCAACTGCTCAGACAGTGAGCTTCTGTGTGTAGGTTAATACTCACCTTTAGCTTTTAAGGTCTGTCTTGCCATAGTTTTTAAGAAACTGTGTCCACTTGAATGCCTGCTTTGCTCCAAGCATTGAACTATGAGCTCTGTCTATATAGGTAAGTTGATGTGAGAGAGTAAACAAATATATCTGTGGAGTACATACATTCTTTATAGACCATTATCTAATTCACTGAGCAAAACAATAGTCATTTCACTTCACTGAGTGACTTTCTATCACTTGTCCACAGACATTTGCCTCAAGTCTTTACTTAGCCTGTATAATTATACCCCTAGAGAATGCTGTGTTATAAAGTGAGGTTATTGTGCATTTTTTCTCATATGGTAAAAAATTAATGCTTTTCATTTGGGTTTAGTCTCCTATTTGGGTAGCAGGAGATAGATAACTTGCTGAGGTTCAGTATAATTGCATTAACTTCCTGTTCCTAAAGTAATTTCTATGCCATACATTTATTTACCATCACAGAAGCTCATAAAAAAAGTTACTTTGTTGCCAACAGTAAAATCACACCCTCAGAGTTCCTCAAGTCTGCCTGTCTGATATATTTTTATAATTGTTAAATTGACACCATCAAATAAGGAATGCTCTCAGAGCAGATCTTTTCTAGCTTTTTAAAAAAAATTGCCCTTATGATTGCATATGAAACTATATGATTCTTCCTTATTTTTTACAGATTTTTACATGAATTAGCCCAGATCCCTAATTTTGCCGAACGTGCCCAGTGCATAATCTTCAGATCTGTCTTTTCTGAGAGCATCACCTCCTTGCACCGAAAGGTAGAAATCATCACACGAGCTTCTAAGGTATGTTTACTGTCTAATTAAAAAATACAGTTTTGCTCCTATTGGGGATAAAGGAGGAAGTGGGGAGTGGGAGAGATCAACTAGAGTCCCTTTGTAGGAAACCTCTTGGATTTAGGGTTGTGTGTGTTTCTAAGTGTAGCTGTGATGATTGTCCCAAATGTGTATTTACTTGAGAGCAGATGAGCGCAAGTAAGAGAGAACAAGATGGTAGACTGATGGAGAGGAGGAAAAGAATGACCCTTTGACAAGTTTCTTCTCAAATATCTCAAATACTGCTAATGTACTTGCTGGCCACTTAGAACCAAACCAAATAGTGGAGTTTGTTTTCCTCTCAACTGTCTTAATCACAAAAGAGATTCTGCTTTTGATCCATGCATTTGATCATCAGAAATGTATATGCACACAGAAATAAAAAAGATTCTGGAGACTTGATAAATTAAATAAATGATTAGGCTAATGAATGATGGGCAAATATATTTTTATTGGCTTTACTGCACTGCTAGTCATTATAAATTGTAGCACCTGGCTTCTTCCCACAATGACCCACATCTTTAAGAACATGATAATATTCTCCACAACTGCTATAGGATTTAGTTGCCTTTCTGAAGTCATGATTTTTTTCCTTCTGAAATATAAAAGATTTCAATAAAGGGAGCATAAATGTTACCAAAGTATAATATGCACTCTCTAGTAATCCCCCAAAAGGCAGAAGCAGGTTGGCCTACATCTGCACTTGGCTTGCTTTATTTATCCCAAAATAAAGGAAAATAAAGCCGCCTAACACTCTTGAGAAGGGAAAAGAAGTATCAGTTTGAAAATTTACACTTGGAGGAAAAAAAAAAGAGGGAAAGGGATGGGGAGCTGAAGAAACCCTAAGCAGCTTGAAATCGTAAAAGTTAATAGACATATGAGCAAACACTTAATAAACATAGCCTGTGGCTTTGAAATACATTATTGTAGTTCACCTCTGAGGATTATACCAGGGAAACGGAAGAACAGACTTGGTGTTATATCTAACCTGCCTTTAACCGTACAATTTTTATGGACTCATAGTCCAAAAACAGATCCTCAAATGGTATTAAACCCCTTTCTACTTAGAAGTCATCAAATATGGAGCCTAACTGTCACAACTCTTCTTTCAATTTATAGATATTTTTAAATAATAAATACTTTAAAATATTTAAAAAATAAAACTGGCTCAAATTTGGAAATACAAATATGAATACTAATCCTTAATACTAAAACATACACAGTTTGTAATTTATTGAAAGGATAGAAAGCAATGGCTGTTAATTCATATTTTTAAGATACTTAGAGCTTACTAAAGTGTATTTCCATTTCACCAACTGTTAATCTGCCTGGTAACATTCCACCAAATAGCCTATTGGGTACTCAAAAATTATTTATTGTTGAATAAACATAGGTACATTTGGGAGTACATACAGAGTCCAAATAATTCGTGTTTGTTCCATAATAACAGGGCTTGCTGCACACAAAGAGTGTGAAGGATATTTTAGCTCTCATTCTGGCTTTTGGAAATTACATGAATGGAGGAAATAGGACTCGAGGACAAGCAGATGGATACAGCTTAGAAATTCTGCCCAAACTCAAGGACGTCAGAAGTCGGGTATTTATTGATTTTTTTTTAATAATGAGTGTCTATGGTCTGCTGTTATTTTCCTTCTATACTTTTAATAAGAGAAAGGAAGTATTCTTGGCTGTTCCATTCATCTCTGTCCTCCCCCACCAACAATACATCTTTTTCTTTGTTTTCTCTTGACTTTCACATAAAGGTACATTTTTCATGTTTGACCTTATTTTGATGGCAAAACCCCCAATATTTGTTTGCTCTAAAATACACAATTAGATGTTGAACTGAAGTGAGAGAATAATAAGCAGTATTAGCCATAGCACAAGGCTTCAGTCTGTTTGAATTTAGTGTTGGCTGCCTGTAATTTATTGATTCCTGAGTCGGAAGCACCATCCAGTTGAGCTGAGCATTTGAATTATTCTTTTGCCCATAACAATTGGGGCTGGTGGGTCTACTGTCAAACTCCCTGAGCCTGATTATCATTTGGCTCCACACCCCTGCAGAGCTACCTCTTTAGAAACAACCAGCCCATATCTAGATGTCCCATGGGGGCAAGGGGGTGCAGGGAGGGGAAGCACACGGGCAAATTAGAATTAGACCCACGTGAATAAGACACAAAGGCCGCCTTGTGGGAGGGCCTCTCGCCCCTGGCCTCCCAGGGTCATAAAGTGGCATGGCGTTCCTTTTAAGCTGTCCTGATTGTTTTTCACGCCATTAAGAACACACATTTTTTGAAAGGTGGGAAGAGAGGGATGGTTTTCTGTTCTAGTCCCTGGTTCCCTTTAGCACTGCTTTCCCGCTGTGGCTTTATGCCAGAAAATAACAAGACATTGTGTGTTTTGTTTGTTTGTTTGTTTCAGGCATTACCTCAGAGGCCTTATGAGCTATTTGTTTGTTATTTTCCCCAAAAAGAATAGTGTAGTGTCATTTTGTTGTATAGATGCCATAAAAAATGGAAAGGACAAGGAGGAGAGAGGAAAACTTGTCAGTCTCAAACAGAATTAGGACCAAGTATTACAAATTCAAAGTATTAGGGTTACAAAATGAGACTTCAGCACTCAACTGTATAATATGGCAGAGTCTCATGTGAATGATTTTCATTCAAGCTTCTCTCTTAAACCTAGGATAATGGAATTAATCTGGTGGACTATGTCGTGAAATATTACCTGCGTTATTATGATCAGGTAAGAAATGGCATTTTGTGGAAAACTACACTAATGAGGTTTCAACTCTTACACATCACTGGCACTCAGAAATTGGATGATGGATGGATGGATGGATGAATTTCAAGTCCAACATAGAATTTGACAGCTCTCCAGCCTCCCTGGTTTGCAGATGGGCACACTGAAGCCAAGAGAGGTTAGCTGACTCTTGTAAAGAGAAGCATTATTCAGTGGCACAAATCTACTCTCAGTCCGCTACATAACACAGCTTCAGAGAGACCCCCAGTTATCTCAATGCCTTCAGACAAGATTGTGCGGGTCTCTGTGAAATCTATATCCATTCAGTAATTGGTTATATTTGAAACTAGATTCTGGGAGTAGACCAAAGTTTAGGAAATTAAGACACGGTAATACCCAATACTTTATCAGTAATGTTCATCTGTGAACAAGTTGAAGATGTAGAATTTGAAATCCATCCTCTGTGCTTAGATTACATTTGCAATTAGAAATAAAAATTTCTATAAGAATCTACCTGAGACAATTTCTGTGTTTTATCCCTGCTCATTAAATTGAGAGCAAGTAGTCCTAGCTTTGAGAAGAAAGAGGTACTGTAAGTTGTTGAGAAATCTAGCAATCAATATGAATGGGAGAAGTCTCAGGAAAATGTTAGGACTCCTGCTTAACTATCCACATTAAGTGGAGTTTTTCTTAGGCACTGAAGGAAGAAAAGTAAAGATTCCAGCGCCTTGCTTTTTTAAAAGGCCTACAGTTTCATCCAGAAGACAAGCTAAGCACTAAGAGATGAAGTCTATAGTCATCTCTCCCACCCTCCTGGTAGGCTTCTCCAACTGTTAACAGTACGCCTACAACCAGGCTTATGATTTCCCACCGCGCCTCCTCAAATTTCTCCCCTGTTTCTATTAAGGATATTAGAATTTTTGGTCATCCAGGCATGAAACTTGTTCTCCTCTTTGGTTTCTCTCTGCCCTACAGTCAAATTATTTCTTGTGTTTTTCCTGGCTTTCATCCCTACTGACCCCAGCTCATTCAGGCTTTCAGATAACTCACCTAGAGAATTTTGATTGCTTCCCGGCTGGACTCCTCACTCCAGTCTATCCCATACCATGTGACCCAATTACTTTTTGTAGTTCTGATCATATCACACCATTTTTACTCAAAAATGGAAATGGTTCTCCATTTTCAAGTGAGTTAGGACAACCCAATTCAATCCCAGTCTTTTATAACCATGCTTTTACTGCTTTCCCTCTACACATATGCCATGATCCAACTCAAAATTGATGTTTTCCAAACACACCACGTCTTTTCTTACTGACATGTTTTTATATCTGACGTTCTCCCTAATTGGAACTATCTTTGCCAATAGCCTTTCTATAAAACTTCTCTTTTTTCTTATTAGTACTCTCTTGAAATAATAAATTTAAAGAACTTTTGGGAAAAATCTCCCAGTACCAATGATCTATATATTTGCAATATAATAGGTAAAGAGCTCTTCAGAATCAACAAGAAAAGGACAACTTGTCCCTTCTCAAAAAAAAAAGGTGTCAGAGGAGACTGCAGGTAATATACAAAAGACAGAAGATATAAATTACCAGCTAGATACATAGAATCAGCAATGTAAATTGATCAAACCTTCCTCAATCTCTGGTTAAGATCTCTGGATCAAATGGAACCCATATCTAGCCTACCCCTTGACTCTATAGGTCCTATAAAAGGCACCTTTTAAAAAATTCACATACAGTTGTCCTGTGCTTCTCAAGCTGTTTGTCCATAGAGCTGTACCTACTTTTAGGGAACACCTTTTCCTAATTCATGCAAACGGACTATATGGGATAGTAAGTCTTCATGATAACTTTGTGTATCAAAAGCCCTATAAATATATAACATCATTCTAGGATTTTTCTCCTATCATTATTTCACTTATAATAATTTGTAAAAGCAATATATCACAAATTTTTTGGTAGGTATCTAAAGATAGAGACTTAGGTCAAATATGCGATGCTAGAGTGATGAATGGAATAACATGGTGCCATGAAAAGTATACAGGAGAAAATTCAGTGACATTAGAAAATACACTTGATCTGCTTTTAAATGACAAACATGTTTAAAATAGTCTATAGTGATTGAAAATATATGTAAATATAAATACAAATACCCAGAAAATCCTAAAAGGATATATATTAAAATGTTTGATTATTTCTGGATGGTAGGATTATAAGAGATTTTTATTTTCTTCTTCCTTTCAATTACTAAACATAATGAACATGTGTCACTTTTGTAAAAGGGGAAAAAAGGTATAATAAAAAATAGTGCACTCTTATATGATCCTCTTCCATGAAGTCTTTGCTCATGTCTCATCTTTTATTCCATTGAAGCCTAGGAATACTTAGTTTGAACTGCTCACCATATGTCTTATTCTGCCTTTTATAGAGATATCAGAGACTTATCTGTTAGCCTGGCATTGCTCCTTGAGGTCCAGGACTCATTGCTGTGTCTTTTTTCATGCCTACAATGTAGGTGGGGGCAGGCATGTTGAGCTTCAGGCAATATGTACGTACCTGAATTTCTGACAGTAGGTATCAGTGTTGCAGAAAATTATCCGAAAGAATCTTAAGAAGTGACATTTCTAATCTAAGGTTGGCATGAGCATATTTATCTTATAGCATCTGGCTCAACCAAGTCAGGTGCATTGTGTAGGAAGGCTGAAATGTGTCTATGAAATGTAACTCTCTTCAAGAGAGCAGAACCCAGTGGAATCAACTTCACAGAGGAAGAACTTACAGTAAGAATGGTTTCAAATATGGGATGACCCAGTTTTGGAAAAGTGAGAAATCAAGAGTTATGTGGCACTCTCCCACTTTTCAATGTGCAAATTGCATTTCACTCAACAAGAGTGTGGAATTATGTGATTTATTAAACTATCCCTTCCTCTAGGAGCCTAAGTGATGATTTTTGTGGTTAGTGGTAATGAACAATTAGCTGAAGAAAGGTGACTCCTACTCCAGGCTTCCTTCCACTCATGCCTGGTTTTTGGTCCAAGTCTTGGTCTGTGATGTTTACGGAAACCCATCTAGAAGCTCTGTTTTTGTATGTTACTTGAGCAGCTTTCACAAGAGCTACTGCTAGGCTGATTTGCTCAGCAGAATTTTCTCTCTTTCTAGCTTAAAAAAAATAGGACTGAATATGATAAAAAATTCTGGAAAATAGATATTGCACCTAAGTTCTTCCAGTGTAGACTACCATGGAGCTTTGGAGCAAGCATCTTAGACATTATTCCATCTTGGCACTCAGACAAGAGTACTGCTTCCAGTTTTTAAAGTAGTAAAGTAAGTATTGGTCATGCAAAATGTTGTTCTGATAAAATGAGGAAAACCACCTTTTCCTAGCATCCCAAGTGAAGGTAAAGGTCTTAAAGGAAAGATAAGGATCCGGGGAATTCCTGAAACCACAAGAAAATATGGTGGTATGTTAGATGTCTCCTGCTAAAGGTACACACTTCCCAGAACAGTATTTGATAGGGTCTCTGTAATGATGCTGAACAAAGTTTATTGATCTGCCAGATGTATATTATACTGAGAACAAGACAGAGTTCCTGCCTTCAGAGTTTATGGTCTAGTGGGGAAGACATACAAGCTCACACAGCAATTTTAAATTAGTGCTGATAAGTGCTGTGATAATGTAAGTACCAGGGGCTCTTGGAAACACCCAAGTACTAGAGGTTTAGGGGAAATCTTGGAGAAATTAATATCCATTTTGAGGCTTGATGGGTGAGTGTGAATGAGGAGGTGTGAGAAGGTTCTGGGGAAGAGTCGGAAAGGGACAGATTTAGAGACAAAAGCCTAGAGGCAAGAGATTGTGGCCTCTTCTATTATTTTATGAAAATTTAGGGGAGGGAGTTAGAAATAGGGGAAAGGTAGAAATAAGACTGGAAATGTAGGCTGAGGCCAGATCAAAAGGTGCCTTGTAAAGTAACTTCAGAGTTTGGAAGTAGTCCTGTGACAGTAGGGTGGCAGTAGGAAAGATGGAATGTGAAGGGAGGCTGGCAAAATAGCCTGGGTGGAGAGGGGAATAGCTAAAGACTGCATGAGATATGCAAGATACAAATCTCATTTCCACAACTCAGGGCTAACACAAGCTAGACTGGAAAACATACTGGAGGCTCAGCTTATCTGTCAGTGTGCCTGAGGTTTTGTCCCTTGGGATATTTCTTAGCTTAGAATCCTCTCTTAAGTAGAGCTGTGGAGCTTGACAAAAACTATGCCTAACCATGTCCTCAGCAGATACCTGCTAAGATAAGCCAAACAACACTTGAAGAATCTTTACAAATATGTGAAGTATTTGGTCACCCACATACACTGCAGAGGAAGGTTAAGTAAAGGTATCAGGGAGGGTGATTGTTTCTTCCATTGCAGTGCCTGTCTTATCTAGCACCTTACCATTCACACCCATTGGCATACCCCAAAGATGAGTTACCTAATTACTCCCATGTGAAACCCAACAGGGACTTCAAATTTAAGTACTGTCATGTGTTCCCCCATGCCTTTTTCCATGGGAGTAGAGTGTCCAATATCAGACATGCCTGATAATTTTCTCTTTGATTCATGAAGCAAAAATAGAACCTAGCTGATGCCATAGCCATAGCCAACCTCAATGCCAATGAGACCAAAATGATATTGTAAAAGACACAAAAGTACTTCAAAGCAACCAATCTGAGTTTAGGAGTAGTGAAGGAGAATTGTTATGATTCTTATTTGAACATCCAATAAAAGATGCTTTGGAATTTCAACTAAAAGTGGCAATTGGGAAATATGATGCACATTTGTTACCATATCTTTTAGGAAGCAGGAACAGAAAAGAGTCTTTTCCCCCTGCCTGAACCACAAGATTTCTTTCTGGCCTCCCAAGTCAAGTTTGAAGACCTCATAAAAGATTTGAGAAAACTCAAGAGGCAACTAGAAGGTAACAGGAACTGTTCTGTTGTGGTAATAATAGCTAAGATTTTTTAAATGACTGAAGAGGCTTTAATTATTTGTGGCTCATGGAATGGAATTGGTGCAGAGTTCAGTTATGGGACTCTGCAGTGCCAAGAACCTTTCCATCTCTATGCATGATTTGGAGGCACTGTCTCACTGTCTACATATATACCTTCTTTTATTAGTGTTTATAAGTGCTTGTTATATCTATATCTTGTAATATCTGTATTTTCCAACATACAAACCATTTTAATAACAACAGCAGCCCTTTATTGAATGCTTACTATTATCTTATAATAACTCCAGTAACTAACTACACTACTCCATTTTACAGATGAGAAGAGTGAGGCTTAGAGAAGTTATGTTCACATAGCCAGTAGGAGGTAGATTTACTGAGCTCTAATCAGGTCTCTCTGATTAGATGTCTTGCATTTTCTAAGCTAGTTTACTTTTCTAAGCTATCTTGCTTTATGTATCACACATACACACACAGCCCTGTGTATCTGGTTTATGTGTATGAGTTTAATAATGATGGCAAGACTCATAGTAAACATTCTGTTTTAGTTTAATTTACATTTTTAATTATTCAAAATAAAATGCTGAGAGCCCTTTTTGGTTTTTTTAAAAGGTGAAAATATGTCTCTCTCAGGCAGGAATTTTCCTCTGGCATGTCTAGAGTCTTGTGTTTTCACTGTGGAGACATCTTCTTGTCCAAGAATATAAATACTTGCCTTGGAGCTTGTATAACTCCAATTGAAGAGCTCGATGGAGCATTTAGGAAGCGTGTTAATGTGGAAATGGAGCCCAGAGTGCCAAAATGAGAGCTTGAGGAAATGAAGAGCTTGAACCAGGAATATTTTTACACGAAGACATAAAATAAACATTTAAAAAATGTTTATTGTGAAAGAGTGCTCAGAAACCTAAGTCTTAGAAAACAGCTTGGAAATGGAAGAAAATGGAAAAGATCTGCTCCTAGTGCCAGGGAAAGCCATTTATTTTTACTTTGGACGTAAAACTTGCTTAAGTAAGAATAGTGGTTACAAGCAAATAGTTTTACCTTGTAAATTATTTTTAAAAGAACATGTGGATTTTTTTTCTCCCGTTGATGTGGTTAATAGCGTGAATTCAACCAAATGGATGCTTCATTCAGGAATGTGATGTGTGAACTTGTGGCCCTTTTTTTCCTTCTCCTAAAAATCTGGCAGCTGTATCCTCATCTGAGATGAGCTCTAGTCTCACTGTCATAAAGAAGAGTAAGCCATCGTGTAACAGGTTTCTGTCCCTCTCCAATAGCAGAATTAGGACCTGGGCCTGCCCTCAGGATGGCTGCCTGGTTGTGCTGACAGAGACAACCCATGCTTGCCCACTCCACGGCCGTCTCTGAAGGCCCAGGCCCTCTTGGCCCTTGACCCTTGTAAAGCCCTTAGTGTGCCCTCTTGTGTAGTTTTTGATCAGAAACCTGACTGTGTTTGTGCTTCCCTCTTCTGCCTTCTTTCCAAGGGCTTCCTCTTTTAGATGTCCTGGCTCAGCTATCCTCCTTTTGATGTCCTTCTGTGTTTGATGATAAATAACAAAGGGACAAGAAGAGCCAATCAGGAGGACAGCGGAGAAGCAGGGGTTCCCCCAAAGCTGCCCACTTCAGTGGACCTTATTTTCTTTAGGGAGATCCTAGGTGTTACTCCAGATCTCTCAGTACTTAACTGACACTTCCCTCAGTCAATTGTAAGGAATCACAAGAACTTCGGAAGCTGGCAGACCTGCCTTATGAAGGAAAATGTTGCTTCATTTGTTTTTCTTCTTTGTGTTGGACTTTTCACCAAAAGACGGGACATACGGCAAAGGCAAATGAGGAAACTGGGACTCCCCCGCATACACTGAATATTTAAACAAAAATGCCCTGCTAATCTTTAGAGATGCCAGTGTTTTTTAACACATGAAAGGTACCTAGTAAATATTTAAAGAAAATACAGACCGTTGGCTCTCTAATGAATTTCTTTTTCCTCAAAATACCATCTGGCAAGATGGCCAGAGTCACGGCGGTCTGTTTCATCTCCTGTCCCCCTTTAGGTTCCACCTCCTTTTCCATAAGGCCTTGGTGTGAGCCTATATTGAATGTTTAATTGAAGAGGACATAATTTTCACACATACAGCAAAGATTGGATGAGGCTTTGAGGTTTATTGTAGCCATTAAAATGTCGTGGCTGCTGGCAAAACCCCAGAAAATGTCTAAAGCTAAACCAGATGTGATTAGGAAATTTCAAGAAGTCTCAGGCCCGTCCTCCAGGCAGCCATGGCCCTTTAGAAGAAAACTGTTTTTAATAGCATGAACCACACCTTAACGATAGGATGTGAATTACACTATGGTTGTTGATTATACAAATGTCCCTGATACAAGTAGACGTTGCCAACAAGCATCTTTTATGGAGCAAGAACTTTGAATCAGTGACAGCAGAGAATGGAGAGTAACAGTATCAACTACAGTTTATTCCATGATTGTTATCTATCAGGTGCTTTCCATATATCATCTCTTTTAATCCTTACCATAACCTATGAAGCAGATATTGTTACCTGTCGCTCACAAGATGGGGAAACGGAGTTCACGGTGCTCAAGAAAGCTGCCAAGTTACTTCCTGAGTGATGACCTAGCCACATTTTGAAACTGGTTATGACTACAGTGTGCACTCATTCCATACCCTGCCTCTGGCCCAGCTGTCTCCGTATCTGATCAGAGATCAAAACAGAAAGATAACATATTCAAGGCATAAATCCTCATGAAGACAAAAATGGCAGAGAATGCAGGCGCATTCAACACTCATACTCCTAGAACCACACATGGTGGGCCCTCAGATCAGATACAGTCAGGAAGGGTCTTACTTTGGGTTGGGGAGGGGGAGAAGGAGGGGGAAGACATATAGGAGAGGTGGGTTATAAAAGTGAATAGAAACAGTATTGCATAAGATTGAGAACTCAGGCTTTGGGATCAGTTATGTACTTTTTATTGGTTTGTGAAGCAAGATCTTGTAACAACCATAAAAAAGGATTCATTTTCTTACTTGTTTAATGGGACAAGTTTAGTACCTATGTCATAGGAGGTAATGATTGCATGGTCCCTACATAAGGAAAGCTTCAGTAAAGCAGGTTAGAGGTATATATACCTTCCACTGGCAGAAACACATCTGTGGAATCAGGCCTGTATTGTTGAGGGGCCAGTTGGCTGCGTTTGTGGAGAATCTGATTCCCAGAGCACTTGTGCTCACTTCTCTGCATCTGTCAAGACAGAACCAAATTCTTGGTGCTTGGGAATATGTTCCATATTTTGTTGACTGTTTTATATGCCTTAGACAATACTTTTAATTTACCTGACTCTGTGACGTTAAAAGTAATAACTAGGAAAAAGCAAATAATAGGGGTAGTTGCTCCCTTATCCTTCAAACTTGTTTGCTGGCCAGAACTCTCAAACTATTCTTACCAACCCATGTGTGACATACAGAATAATAGCTCCCAAAGTTGTTCAAACCCTAACCCCTCGAATCTGTGAATATATTGCCTTCCATGGTAGAAGGACTTTGCCTATGTTGAGTTGGGGAGATTAGCCTGGACTATCTAAATGGACTTAATCTAATCACATGAATCTTTAAAATAAATCTTTAAAAGCTGAGAATTTCCCTGCTGTGGTCAGCAGGAGGTAGTACAGTAGAATGATCAGAGAGATGCAATGTTGCTGGCTTTGAAGATGGAGGAAGTGGGCAGGGAACCGACGTGGGCGGGAAGCCTCTAAAACTGGAGTAGGCAAGGAACATTCTCCGAGGGCCTCCAGAAGGGCATGCAGCTCTACCAACACCTTGATTTCAGCACAGTGAGACCCATGTCAGTCTTCTAACATACCAAGGCATATGGTAAACATTTGTATTGTTTTAAGCCACTTAAAAGTTGTGGTAATTCATTTTAGTAGCAATAGAACACAAACACACCATGCCCAGTATCTTTCCTGCTTGTGACATCAGTGCCCTCTAAAAAAAGAGTCTGTAGTCCATTCAGTCTGGAAATGCTCTAAACTGAAATCAAGTCACAGGGATTCACATGCACCTGATCTTATTAAAGGCTCTGGGAAGTCCTGCAATAACAAAACAGAACTATTTAACCCTGTTTACAGCAGCATTTCTCAACTAAAACATGAAACATTGGTTTTTTTTTTCTTTTTTCACTGAACACTTAGAAATATGTTGCAGAACATGTGTTCTGTGAAATACAGCTTAAGAAATGATGTCTAAAATGATTACTACCAAATTTTTAATATAAAGAACACCGTTGCTAAATGGTTATTACAGGGTAACCTTAATACAAGGACCTGCAGTGAACAATTATGGTCTAATTCTCCCTGGCTACACTATCCTTACTGAATTTGCTACCCATGTGAACAAATACAGTGGGTCAAACCCTCTCTAATGTCTTTCCTGAAAGACAAAATGAGTTAACTTTAGTGTTACTCAAAACTACTGTAATGTCACCCATGCCCCCTACCCCATCCACATTTGTTTGACACGATTCTGTGATAGTATTTTTTTATGAAAAATTCATTCTGGCTATGAAAGTAGGGAAGATAATTAATTTCTCTGTTGGGAAATTAGGCAGGAAGTCTTCAGATAGGTGTTGAGAAGTTAGCGTATTCTGAGAAGTTTAAGTATAAAAATAAATTGCTCTTATTAGCTAACAATAGTTACTTAGTATCCCCTGTCATGAAGGGTGGGCTATCTAATCAGCTAGTTCTATACTAAATCTTGCCTTGAAAATGATGCATTATTAACCCCATTACTATATACATGAATTGAGAAAATGTAAGTTAACCCTCAGTGTAAGATACTCAAGCTTGTTTGAGAGTATTGGCTGAGTTGCAAGTTTGTGTGTGCGTGCATGTGTGTGTTTTAAGATAATTTTGATGATGTCCTTTCTTCTAAATATTTAAGACTATATATTTGAACATATCCT